CCGCCCGACCCGCCCTGCAGACGCCCTACTGGACAAAAGGAACCGTTGGTGTTTGTCCCAACGGTCCCTGATGCACGTGCCCTGCCAGGTGGGGTGGGTGAGGGGTAGCGTAATGCCGGCGGGGATGCATCCAGCTTCAGCCTGCGTGGACAGGGAGAAGACTGGATGAAGGGAGACCTCCGGATTATCTACAGTGAGATAGAGCAAGGGAAAAGAAAGGGAAGGAAACCATCTTGCCTGCTCCCCAGAATATCTAGCTCAAAATAGCGCAGGGGAAGGAGTGAATGAGTTTCTCATAATTCAGACTATTAGCAGGACTCTAAAAATGTAACTCTTTGTGGAAGTCCTAGCAATGTAAAAAACCTCAATAGGAAGAGTAGTCAAAGTACGTCACCTCTGGTTATATGACATTATTTTTCAATTAGAAGTAGTTTGTGTGCATACGTATTGTCCCGTTATTGGCTGATTTCAAAGTAAAGAGTCTGTCTTTTAAAATATATTTCTCCATCCATATCCCAATTAATGAAGATGGAAGGTAGTTTGTCCAGCTGAAAGCATGAAAATCAGATCATTTTACCTCCAAACACTTAATGTATTTTTCCCCTTTCTCCATAGGGTAGTTCTTGCATAGGGTACTAATTTACTTTCCAATGATTTTAAGAAATGTAAGGCAAGGAGGGGAGGGTATAGCTCAGTGGTAGAGAATGTGCTTAGCATAGGCAAGGTCCTGGGTTCAATCCTCAGTCCCTCCATTACATAAATAAATAAACAAACAAACCTAATTACAAAAAAGAAAAAAGAAATGAAAGGGAAGTATCAATCCAAAATGAGTACAAATCTGTATAAAAGAGATGAAGTCAGGCATATGAACATGGTACCCACTCAAAGAAAAGAGGGTTTATGAGTACTCTAGATCTGAAAATCTTACCAGATATACTATCAGCGCTTCGAACACAACATAATCCAAAACAGAATTGAGACTCTTTCCCTGTTCCCATTCTCCCCAAAACACCTGTTCCTCCTACATGCATCCTGTTCTCAGTATCACTATCTTCTGTTAAGTAGAGGCAAAGTCAGCCTTCTTTAACTCTTTCCCAAAATGCCCAAATCCAACTATCAAAGACAGTCATTTTAATCTCTGCAGTGTTGATTCCATCTGCCCTCCTCTTGAATGATTACAATAACCTGGTAATTCAGTCT